ATTCACTTATATATTGCGCAACTATTCACTTATATATTGCGCACAACTAGTGTAGCATGTCTTCATTTGCCATTCATGGGATTCACTTATATATTGCGCACAACTAGTGTAGCATGTCTTCATTTGCCATTCATGGGCCAGTCATCACCCAACATTTTGTGCTTTCTGCAGTACCAAGCAAACTACAACTGATACTTGTATGTGGTAAGATTCTGATTAAAACATTATTGGTTGATTAAAACCATAAAAACCTACAGTTTATGAATTTGAACTAAAATTACTTTTTCAGCACAATATATTACTTTCAGAATGGCAATGGAAGTACTTCTAGCTGGGTGGGGGATGGTTTATACCAGCTTCCAAGAATGGATTATTCATTAAACTGACTCCAGTGTATTTTATTCAATTAAATTAAGTGTTTGATTATTTTTAATATATAATTATACTTGATTACCCAGTACAATATCTCTGACTTCTGTTATAAGTAAACCTTATGTTTACCTTATGTAACCAGTTTGAAATTATGCCCCTAACTATAATAAAACATTCAAAAAATTACATTATTATATAGTCTTTGAAGAATAATAATAAAAAAAATAATTTGGAGTTTTTTTACATATATGATTATTATCTTTTGGTAAATTAAGACTTGAACAGTGGAACCAATTATATATTAATTAATGCCTCTACAAATTCTCTTTGCTCCTAAAATTCTTAAATTAATATAAGAATAAGTTTTATGGTTCCTTGTTAAGATTTTATGATTTAAATAAATGATACAATTACTAAACATAATTAGGTTGGTGTTTAAAGTTATGTTTTAATAAACATAATAAACACCAACAATTAGTAGATCTCCAATGCTAGTGCTGAATTTTCCTCAGATCTATTCATATTAATGAAATAATCTTTGTAAAACAATGAATAATTGAGTGTATGGAGTGTACTATAGCAATAGATTACCTACTAGTTCCAAAACATTTTAAAATTTAGGCATATAGAACCATAGTAATGGCTAAAAGTTGAAACCCTCAAAAGGCATATTTTTGATATTAGATGACACCATAAACAAACAAAATTACAATCCCTTAGTTTCATTTGAAATGTGTTTAAAGCCAAGAAACACTCTTTTCCTGTAACAACATTAGAAATTCAACCAAACTTAATTTAATTTTTTCATTAATATCAATGACTAATCTATTGTAAATTTAATTTTAAAAATCTATTAGGACCTATTATAAATGCATTTTATTGGACATTATTTATCTAAAACTACAGTTTAAAGAAATGACATCTTAGGTTAATGAGGACAGATGCAGCCACTGTTATTGGTAATTTAATGTATATTTGTAAGCAACAATAAACTATTGCTAATGAAAAAACGATTCAAAGTACAGTTCATTTGGTAGTGATGCTTCTGACAACAATTTATATGTAATATTATGGTAAAATAATTAAATAGACATAATATATTTTTTAAATATTGTACCAATTTTCCCATTTTTTCCCCCGATTTTTCCCATTTTTTTTAAGAAAATTCCTGTTAAATTGAAAAATTAACTACCTTTAAAGTACCTTCCCAGTCCAATTACCTTTCAGAAAAAGTGCTATCATTTTAAATCTGAGTGAAATTGCTGGTAGAAAAGTTGTTAACAGAAAATAAAGACCATAGTATTTTTTTACTAATACCTACCTACATTTTGTATGTTATCTGTTTTTTGGAAATTTTATCCTGGTTTTTCCCAGGTATAATGAAAACTGCTTAAAAAACATAAAAACGACTTCTTTAAATTACCATTTAAAATTTCCTTTCAGAAAATAAGCTACACTTGATACATCACAGCAAAATTTCTGGTAGAAAACTTTACACAACAAATCAATGGGTATTTTGCGAATAAAATAAACTGAGTGAGTGATGGCTTGAGTCTCTAGGTACATCTAATATGTATTTGTTTAGGTAAAAGGGGAAATAATGCAAACAGGTTTGAGAACTGGGAACCCCTACAATGATATAATAGGCACAAAATGCTATTAGATCACTAGAAATATAGTTTAAAAAGGACAATATAGTGTTATTTAACATAACATATAATATCCCTATAATATCAGAACTTTAAAAAGCTATAATTTCAAAACTTAGTCTGCTCAATTCTGACTTTAGTATCCTTCTTAAATGGGCAATATACATATGTTCAAAAAAAATATATTGAAAAATTAGATTTGTTCCACATCATTTTTTGTCAAATTTGATATTGAAATTCCCTTATCAAAAAAATACTACATTAAATTCAAATTTTTTTTACCACAAAAAATGAATCTCCTGTTAAATGTTGAAACAATTCTGTTCTAGTTCAAAGTTTTAAGTTATGTTCTGTTATGATTCTGAGCGGAGTTCAGTTTATAGTGATGTTTTGTCAACAATATACATGTCATATTATAATAAAATAATTGAGTAGGCCTATATATTTTCTTTAATATTATTTATTTAATGTTTTCCTGGTTTTCACATTTGTTTAGAAAACACCATGGAAAATAGAAAAATGATCTCTCTATAGAACCTCCCCAGTGAAATATCCTTTCAGAAATATTGTTATTGAATGTTGGAGGAAAATTTCTGGTAGAAAAGTTGTAAAAATCGTAATATTATATTTATTTTATTTTGTAAATTTCCCAATTTTTTGCATTTGATGAGAAAACTCTTGAGAAAATCGAAAAATTACCTCTCTAAGGTACCTTCTCACACTGATGATTTCTTGTGTTTTTCTGTATTGTGTATTACTGTGATGTGTGTCACCAAAAAAGTTGTTTATATTTTATAGTTTATACTGTAGGTTTTCATAGTACAAATGTATGGCATTATTTTTACCTTATGTTAAAACTTACATATTAGAAAAGCAATGAAATTGGTATTGTGTAGGTGTGTGTGTGTTATTTTAATTTTATTGTTTTAAGTGTGTAGTCCCTGAAATACTTACATGTCTACTGTCTCAATACTCATAAACTGTTATTCCCCTTCACTTGTGTTTACTGTGAATATAATTTTACAAATTGTATAATACTTCAATAAAAAAAAAGTGTGTAGTCATTTGTATCGATCTAAATTAGGGTGTTATTATACAAAAAGGTTGAGAACTACTGTTATTTACTGTTATAAATTAGTAATTTGTCAAAATAATCAATTTTCACTTAGCTTTCTCAGCTTTTTCTTTTTAAGTTTTTCGATTTACAGTTTTAATTTTTTTAAATTTTACAAATTCTAAGATATTCTATGAAGTAGATGCAATGATCTTTATAGGGCTAAACAAATTTACAAACAAATTTAAGAAGAACTAATTCTGTAAAGTGACTAGTAGGTGTTTTTTAAAAATAAACTAGAATTTGAAATGCTATTATTTTGAGAAAAATTAAAATTGATTAAAACTACTCCAATTATCCTTAGGTTTAATGGTAATATTAGCACAAATATCATATTGTAAAAAATATTAGAACTGTTTGTCACTTGAAATTGAAGTTTTTCTAATTGTTTTTGATCATATAATTGATAAAAAAGATAAAGATACTTAAGAATTTTAAAACTCAAATAATTTTAAAGTTTTGTCATTATTATAATAATTACTGAATAAATATCATCATTGGGTTCTACACTTACACATATTTTTAATTTATACTAATAAAAGAGGTGTTTATTTATTCATGGGACAGGGGTGAAAATAAAGAAACGTATATTCAATTATATATTTATATGAACTTTATATTACTAGGGGTAAAATACTATTGCATTTGCTATGGATGATAGCTTTTTAAGATACATAATTGCTACATGTTTTTACCTAGACAAATTGTGTACGAATTAAGTTATTGCCAATTTTTATACCAGTATATATGATGAATACAAAATCCATACAAATTGAATCCAATATTTAAAAGTAGTAGGTTATAGATATTAGGAAATTCAATTTTAAAATAATTAATTTACAATTATTTAGTTATTCTCATTGTCTATATTTTATTATTTTATATTAATTATTATAGAACTGTACTGAATATTTATTAGATATATGATGAAATTAATAAATTTGACATTCCAAAAAATTTCATAGGCAACATGGTTATTTTTTTTCTTAAAGGTATTTTTTAATGCAACTACATACATACACAATTGTGTTTCCAAAATGGACAAACATATACAATCATGTTCTATCCACTACTTGACTGGCCTTTTGTACACTTGAAGCAGTTAAAACATGCTTCTCTTTTCTGACCTGTGACTGTTCAATAATAATTATTGTACAGACCATATTATGGTATCTACTTTATAATTATCATAAAATAGACTATTATATTATGTCAACTTTTTATTAATTGATGTGTATTTTTTATTTTATAATACCAATTATATTAATTTATATATTAAAAATAAAATGCATATTATTACCTAAATATTATAAATTTGTCCTAAATAATATAATAAATAGGTTACCAATTCGGTGTATGCAAAATTACATATGCAGATTACAAGATTTCATCTTGTAAGTTGGTTAGGTTGGGTTATAATTGTAAAATAAAAAAAAAATGTATAATAAATTTCCTAAAGATCAGTCTTACTTAAGTTTTAATGATTTATCAAATTTCATTTAAGTTATTATTTTGTTATGAAAGTAAAATTGGTTTAAACTTATTATTAAATTATAACATTAATATAGATTTATCTAGCTACTCTATAAACAAGGCCAGTCTAGTACCTAGTAAAAAGTCTATGCATATGAACGCAGCTGTTGTCTGAAGAATTGCCACCTCAATTTTAATTGTCTTATATAAATATATATATATTATATAATAGGTAAGAGTGGTTATAAAATGTATGGGTTCTCATGTGTAATATCTTGTCTATCAAATGATTCAATTTTGAACTACTGAAAATATTTATCTTTTTAGTAAAACATATTTAACTGAACTGAACAGTTCATAAGTATTAGAATTTATATAATTTTCACCATTAATTTGATTAATATTAATATTTAATAGTAGCAAATATAAAGTAAGGCAAAATGTTTAGGTGACATTTTTACTTTTGTATTTTTCTTTTAAAATAATAAAATATTAATAATCATGAATTTAAGATCTTATAGTGAATTAGATATTTGTTAGTTACCTATTGGATTTCTTATTGATAATAACTTAATCAAAAATGCAGGGTGATTCACCCTGTGAACCAAACTAAGTGTGCTAACCAAACTTTGTATGTATTCAAATTCTGATTTTTGGAATTTTTAAGTGTATTAGCTTAGATAGTTTTTAATACTTAGATTTTTTACAACAATAAAGGGGTATTGTGTAGTGATGCCAACTTTCGGTTTTTTAAATGACAACCTATATTAAAAGTTCCATAGACAAAGGATTACTTTAAATAAATACTGGTTAAATATTCTAAGAATAGACAGAGTGTTACTTTAAATAAGTTTTGTTGTCAACATTTATGATTTCCATCTACCTATTAACAACATATTTCACTTTTAAGTTTACGTAGAAGAGTAGTGGAGCACTA